GAATTAATGTGTCAAGTGTGTTTGATTTGTGCACATTAAGATAGATGAAAGGAAAGTAAGGGCCGGAAAAACAATTATATTTTATATTACATTCCAGAGAACCAAGAGTTCAGAGCAATGTATATCACTATGTTGCACACTTAATCTTGCGCCACTCACAAATATTGAAGCACTCAAGCCTTTTTTAAAATCTAATAAGTTATATTTTAAAAAAAGCTTTGTAATAATAAATGACATCAATCTAATAAGTTTAAATAAGTTATATCTAATAAGTTTACCAAGAGTTCAGAGCAATGTATATCCTATAATTCATTGTAATAATAAATTATTTTATTTTTTCTCCTTCAAAACCATCATAATAACTTTATATAATCATCAAATAATTTTTAACTTTATTTTTTAATTTTTAACTTTAGCTTAAAAGTAACTTTTAATTTAAAAAAAAAAATGTGTCAAATATGCTGAGTGATTAAGTTGTTGTCTGGATAATAGTTTCTGAATTATTGTGAAACACCAGAATTTTTTTCCCTTTTTTAAGTTACAGTCAAATCACAATTTGAAATCAAAATTATATTTATACATAACCTAATTAAAATCCTATTCAACATGTTGATTTGAATTTGAGAAAAAAATGAACCCTTTTAAAAATCTGCTGAAAACATTAACAAATATTTAAACAGTTACTTGTTTGAATAGAAATCTAATGCTTTTTATTTTTTTCTTTTCATAAGCCTCTATTTACAAAATCAAAGGAGGATGCAACAAGCAAACTCAGTCAATGATTGATTTGTTAATGATATATTATATAAACAATTAAGATACAAGAAGAAAAAATTAAACTAAGAAGTTTATGGTACGTATTCGGTATTCATACATTTAATTTGTGATATTTTTAAAGTTTTGGTCTATATTAATTACAAATAACTAACATTTAAAAGGGAAAATATGTAATATTTCAATATTTGAGAAATATTATTTTTATGTATAAACAACTTTTCTATAATATGAAAATGCCTTTATTAGTGTTATCAAAAAAAAAAATGCCTTTATTAGAATCACAAAAAATTTAACTAAAAAATTGTTTTAATGGTTTTTTTTAAGCGTTTGTAATTCAATGCTGTAAGTTGAGAAAATAACGTGTATTCAGATTGTTGATGTGGTTCGTTGCCGTGGACTCACTCATTCGAGAGTATAAAGTCTCCTCTTCAAGAATATTAAAGTAATTTGACCTCGTACAATTTGAAGAGCAAATCCTAAATTTTTTTTGTCGTCTTCTTTTTAGCAATACTTGATATAATGACCCTAGCCTATAAATAATGAATTTACAAGTTTATTAAGAAATAATAATAATTAATGAAGAATTAATTATAGGAGAAGTCTAATTAGAGGAATTAAAGTCGCCTTGTGAAAACGAGTTAAAAAAGACAATTAAGGGGTAAAAATGCGGATAGGTAAAGTTACTCGAAAGTTAAAAATAAAATAGTGAATATTATCGCAAAAATAATATAAGTCAATGTGTCAAGTTTGATAGAGAGTTAAATGAGCGGGATAGATAAGTTTATACCCACTAGGATATTTGAAACGACTTAAATGTGTGAAAAACACTTCCTCTCTCTTCATTTGCTCTCTTTCTCCTGCGGACCATTCTTCTCCCAGCCAAAGGAAGCTCTTCCATTTCCCTCTGCATTTTGCTTCATTTATCTTCCTTAAAAGACAAGAAAACACTAACCTCTCTTCCATCTCCCTTCATCCTACATTAGAAACAGCAAGAGTTTAAGTGATTTGAGCAAGAAAACCCACCCTTTGGAGCTGTGAAAATCTGGTTGGAGCTTGAGGGAGGAGTTCTTCTTGGTTGAAAGTTTGGGTTTCATTTCTTCTTGGTTGTTAAAGCTCCTAAGTAAGAAAACATAACCACTTCTATTTGATTTTACGGAAATTGTATGATTTAGGGTTTTGTAAATTGGGGTTTTGATATGTAAAAGATTAAAGGATGTACCCATGGCTAAGAATAGCATGAAATATGTACAAATACTGATTAGGAGATGCCAAGGACTTGGAGAAGGGTTTGGTACTCCATTATGCAGTAAAACAGAGCATTTTTAGCTTCTGTCCAGAGAGTTCTCGAATACTTTCAAGAAGTATCCGAATACTTTTCGCGAGGTTAAACATGGTTTGGGAAAATGACTGTATCTTGAGCTACAGAGCTCCAAATTGAGTGAGGTTTGGACCTATGTGAAGCTAACACATAGGGCTATTAGATAAGTGTATCAATTACAATTTAAGTTTAAAGTCACTACCTAGTTTTTGAAAATGCAGTTTGCAGTAGTCGATTTGCGAAAGACATAACTTGAGTTATACAACTCCAATTGCGACATATAATATGTTATTGAAAAGCTTGAAAAGTCTAGTTTAATATAGTAAAATCTTAGAATGCAATGGACTAGTATATGTACTGATTGACTTCATATTTCTAGAATAGATTGTGATATTGAGAAAGTATTGTGATTTCTTGGATGCTAGGAGTACATCGAAGGCCATTGCTTTGACAAGTAAGCTTTCGATCCTTGGGTTAATCTCCCATTTGTTCCACCAGACTCCAAGGGAGGAAGGTTCTTTTATATGGTATGTTGAAAATGGATTATTATATGATGTTTGTATATGTATTCCACACAAGATGGTGTTTCTTTGTGTGAGGCATAAGACAACGTTTCCTTATGCATAATATGAGATGGTGTTTTCTCATACGGGTATGTTGTAAGATGGAGTTTCCTTACATAACGCATACATGTTGTATTCTCTGGCCAATATGATTCCTTATTGCACATATGCATTGATATACATATTCTGATGCACACATGATTTTATACTGTGGTTATACCTGAAGTGAACCCAAGGGTGGAGGAGCCCTCCAAGGACCCCTGGTTTACTGAGATTATTATATTATCTCATCCCGCGTTATGGGGATTGTCATTTCAGGTACAATAGCATATGGTACCGAGGCATCGCACGACAGGAAGTCGGGAGATGGATATTATCTGACATATTTTTTTGGATATGTTCGTGGCATGATGTATTTATTATTTTGAGATGTATATGCCATGTTATTCTTTTGGAGAGCATAGGGGATGTCTATGCCATGTTAATAGTTTATTTATGTTATTAGTGATGCATGCATAGGTCTATGTTACTTATTTAGTTACATCTCTTTGTTTGTTTGATGTAATCATTGTTTATTTGATGTAATAATATAAGTAACATTATGAACATTATTTTGAGACCTGATGGTTATGAGATAGCCTAGGCCATGGATGGATGGGCAATATGATTTAGCATGTATATTTATTTGAGCCTAATGTGCATGAATCCATGGATGGAGTCTAGGTAGGACTAGTGGATATATTGTATTATTCCTTAATTATAGTACACTGTTAATCAGGTTGAAATTATTATGGTGGGAACTATCTCCAGTGGTCCAAAATACAAACTAAATGTCATCCATTTTATTTTAACCAAAGAGGCGATACAAACCGCAATACATAAGGAAAAAGAAAAAAGTTAATCACGTTTTATACTAGAAGTGTTAGTGATTTAGCAAGAGAGTTTCTGCGTTTAAATTATTAAACATGTTGCGCTTTATATCATATGTATGTTAATACACTGGGTGCACACGAGGTATTACACTTGATGTAACACCCCGTTCTAGAACCGGTTTGTTAACATCGCATTATGATATTAAGCGCAGTTACAATCACATGGGTTCAATTAAAATTCGGATAAATTTTTCATTTTAAAACATATCGAACTTATAATACCCAATATCGTGATCATAACCATATTACCTTGCGGAATCAGATAAATTAAGCTTAACATCATGTTCTTATTCCATTTTTAAACCATTAATTTACTTCCTATTTATTTCACAACTTCTACTATATTGTAGATCTCTTCATTTGCTACCCGTGGCTTCAAACCGCGCTCGAATCGAAGCACTATAGCCCAAGTTAGGACAATTTGAAGCAACACAAGAGAGTGTTGGTCACAGGCCCCGCACGCTTCAGCGCGCTACCGGGCGCTATCGGGCGCTAAAGCCTCCACCTGGGCGCTTAAGCGCACGGAGGCAGGAAGCATCAGGTATTTCAGTGTGAATGGGCGCTTAAGCGCGCATCAGGGCGCTCAAGCGTGCTATCTTGGGCGCTTAAGCTCTCATTGGGACGTTTTAGCGCGCAGAGACAGAAGCATCTCCTCCTTCAGTGGCTAAGGGAGCTCAAGCGCGGACCAGGGCGCTCAAGCGTGCAACCCTGGGCGCTCAAGCCCCACCCTGGGCGCTAAAACACGAGGGGACAGTAAGCATCCCATCTTTCTGCAGCAAAGGGCGCTTAAGCGCAAGGCAGGGCGCTCCAGCGCGCAATCCTGGGCGCTTAAGCCCCATTTTGGGCGCTCCAGCGCGAGGAGGCCGAATGCATTGGCACTCACAGGGGCAGCAGGGCGCTTGAGCGCGCTCCTGGGCGCTGAAGCGCGCTGCCAGGGAATTCCAATTCCCACTTTCTTCAAGTCCAAGTCTAGGGGAAGATGCATCCCCATTCCAAACCCCAATTGTCCATGCCCAAAAACTAAATCCTAGCACTCATCCAACCTCTCCTCATGAGATTTAGCTAGAATTTGGGCAGCATAACCTTTGTTTACTCGACGTTTCCCAAGTTAAACCAAAGGTACCTAATTGATTTTCAGCCCAACCAATTCAATAACTCAATACATAACAAGCATGCATATATTGAATTTCAAGTAGGCATCATTTACATTACATATCCTTTACAAATCATAGAACTTAGCTTACAAAACACTATGATCATTCCCTTGGCTCCCATTCACAAAAGAGATGACCAAAGGCATGAGCATAGGCTATGTCCATTCCAATATACAAATCATAAATCTAGCATTGCCTATTCATTACAATTCTATACATGTGAACTACAAAACAACATGTATAATCTCAAAAGAAATGCCACATTTCATGCATAATCCAGGTATGGCCACTTGCCACCAGAGGCTCCTGCAGCATCCTTACCTGAAAGGGGGTCCCCACAACACGGGGTGAGATATACGAATATATCCAGTAAACCAGGGGTCCTTGGAGCATCTCTCCACCCCACAGTTCCATATCAGTGTAATAGCAATAACAATAATAATGCAGTAAATACATATCTATGCAAAGTGCAATACATCTCCAGGAGAAATCCCTCGAGCTCTCAAGCTGTCCTAAGGAAACTCAGATGCAAATAGTCCTACTGGCCAGCTAACTACCAAGTATGATTTACGCATCGTCATGCAACATACCACATAGGGAAACACCATCCTATGCCACACCAAATGCATACACATACGTATAACAAAGCATTACACTATTTCATTGCATTTATATACACTATAATCACCACTACCCTTTCAGGGCTTGGTGGAACAATCAAGGGAATTACACCCAAGGTCCGAAGGCTTACCTCAAAGCTTCAGCAACCTTAGTTCACTACCAATGTCAACAATACTCTACTCCAAAACCAACACCTACACATGGTGTAATGCAATCAACACATTGCATCCAAGAGTATTTCACAATCAACCATCAACTACTCAATTCAAAACACAACACAAGTATGAGCTTACCAATTCCAATGAGCTACTCAAGCGGTTGATCACTCACGGTCGGTCCAAATGTCTCAATCCTAGACATCATTAGGACACAATCATCAATCAACCAAGCCAAACCATTTATTAACAATGCAAGAAATCCAATATCAAGCATCATATTCTTGCCATTTTACAAGTATACTCATTTAGCTATCTAAGCTCATTTTCACCGATTAAATGTCGTTCCTAGCATTTTTCACAACATGCTCTAAGCTCCATTCTTCCTAGAACATAGCTAATTTAACAACATTTCATCAAAAACCCTAAAACACTATTCATAAACCCTAACTCATGCAAATTTCAAGGAATCATGAGGTTCAAGGGTTAGAATCTTACCACCAATGGTCACACAACCAAGCAAGGAGTGTTCCTCAAGCTCCCATGGAGGTTGAACTTCTCAAAACCCCAAAATCACTCAAATGGTCGAATTTTGAGAGCCAAAATCTCTCTCCATAAAGCTCCACACTAGGAACTAAGCAAGGATTATGAAAGAGGGCGAGATTCTAAGCGATTTAGGCTTTTGAATCACCCAAAACCATTAAGGTTTCCTCCCTCCTCTCTCTCTTCTTCTCTCTCCCTTTCTTCTCCTTCTCCTTCTTCTGTTTGCTGTCGACGGGCTGGGTGGGAAATGGGGGTTCTCTTTTGGCTTTTAGTCACTTAACATTGGTTAAGTGGCTTTAAGCGGGTATTGGTTCATCTATCTATTCAACTCCAAAAATTACCAAACTTTACCCAAAAGTCTGGAATATTATTCTAGGAATATTACTATTTTTATTTTTATATTTTGGGCACTTTCGCCAGTACCCATTTATACCCCTTAATTTCCACTGAGTACACTTTTTAACTCCAAAGTGACTCAAATTCATTTAATTAAGCCCTATACTTAATTTTACTCACTAATACATACTTAATTACTTAATTAAAATTAATCAATTAAATGCTTATGTTTGGGGTATTATACTTGACAACACTGAATCCGTCATTACTAGGTGCAAATTGGCAACAACGTTGCTATTCATTTATTATGTTACTTCTGTAGACTCCTTCAATTACAACTAAGCAATTGTTATTCCTCATGATTGCCTTCATCTTCAGCTTTTAGAGAGAGAAATTATTATCATTGAACTTCTCAATCTCAAATTTTGTCGTCATGGTGTTGACAATACTCTAATTATTAATTGTAGCAGGTTACACTATTTCACAGTAAATAATAACCGTGAATAGCACAACATCATGAATAGTAACTAGTAACCAACTAGACTCTGATACCTCTGTTAAGTAATAGAGTATCATGCAGCTAAAATAGAGTTGAAAGAAACTGGAATTTCAAGATAGTATTAACCAAATCAGTAGGACAGGTAAGTGTAAATCAGTGAGAGTCTTCCTGTGCTACGTAGCGGTAACTAATTAAATAACCACTCACTTTTGTAGACGTAATTAACTTATTTTTACAACCTCTATAAAAATATAAGAGAGACCAATATCACTTTTCTAAGTAGGATGCTAAAGAAAAACTCTTAAAATTTGTTTTGGGATGCTTAAACCATGTTGAAGGCTGTTTATTTATAGGTGCTGCAATCGTCCAGCACCATCCAATTTCCATAGCCACTTTCAGAAATCTGAATAATATACCATGTAGGAAAACATGCTCAAAAGTGGCTTTAAAAACGTCACTGTGTACGTCAACATATAAATTTTTTATGTTATTTTTTTAACATGTAATCCGAAAAAGTCAGCAGACTCACTCTGCATGGAGTATAAAAGCTAGATATCTATTTCATTTCCTCCTCAAACAAATGTCCTAAATTCTCTCTGATAAACTATGGCTGAAGCAGCAAAAAGGTTATGGTTTCTTCAACTCTCATGATGTGCATGTCCTTCTCTTTCCATGACAGCTTTTGATCAAGTGCAAAATCTGAAGTGTTAAACACACTGTATTTGACTTTGAAATGCTTCTTTTCTATAACTGTCTTGAAATGCTTGCTTTCTAGGTATGCTGTTGTCACAGGAGCAAACAAAGGGATAGGATTTGAGATATGTAAGCAGTTGGCTTCAAATGGGATCACTGTGGTGCTAACAGCAAGAGATGACAAAAGGGGTCTTGAAGCTGTTGATAAACTGAAACAACTTGGTCTTTCTGACCAAGTGGTTTTTCATCAGCTTGATGTGACTGACTTAAATAGCATTGCTTCCCTTGCAAATTTCATCAAAACCCAGTTAGGAAAACTTGATATCTTGGTATTGTGTTCCATTTCTACACTTAATTTCTAGTTATATAGTCAGACAAAGTTCACTTGCACTAAGTCAGTTTTTGTTTTAGTCTACTGTGCTCTGATTATTCATTATTCTTCTCCTTCCCAAATATATCTATTTGGAATAATTGGCGAGAAATTTTCGGAATTTGTGTAGGTGAATAATGCAGCAATAATGGCAGCAAATTATGACAGTGATGCTTTTAAAGCTTCAATTACTGCTGGGGTATGTTTTTTCTAGACCATTTGGATTTATTTTCTTCATCTTCTCACTCCCAATTCAAAGGCAGTGATTTGAGTTAATTTTTATTGGAGGCAAGAATATAATTGATCCAGTTTGGGAAGTGAGAACAAAATTTCTTTATTGTGCTCTCTGCAGCTTCAGTTTGAATAGGCTCAACACCATATATTACTTGGTTTAAAAAGGAGAAAAATTTTGGCACAGGTATAGACTGTATTGGTGAATCCAAGTGTTAATTAGTGAAGTCTCATATTGATTAAGAATGGACTGAATGAGCACCACATAAGTGGAAGGACTCATGCACCTAATGCATTAAGATTTTGGATTGATCGTGATCTCTCCCCGCCGTGAGCTCTGTCTATTGACCTAACAAGTGATATCATAGCCTTATGATGCTATATCCTAGATCTTTTTGTCTCTATTGATATGTAGAATCTGAAATTAGTTTCCTAATCCTATGCTTCCCAGTTTTGTGACACTGGCATTGATCTTCTCTCCTTCACTAAAAGGGGGTAAAAGAAAATACAGAGTCATTCAAGCATTGTCCCTTTTTTTTTTTGTGGAGCCTTAGAAGACTTCCCAATTGAACAGAGAAACTGTTTATGAATCTAGAACCCAACCTAATTGTTTTATCCATATTATTTTTATATATTTTTTGGAAAAATTGTCCTTGAAAACTCTCAGTTTATAATGGATAAACATTTGAGTATTTTAGATGTTCTTTCTTTAGATAGGAGTTAATTTTTGGTGTTGTGAAGGACATGTTTTTAAAGAGCATTGGTTTTGGTTGTATTGGAAGAAACTTGCACATATATATACTAAGTAAACAGAGGGTTAAGTTTCTTCTTATTGACTGCAGGAAATAGTTGATTGGAGTAGATACATGACTCCAACTGATGAATCTGTAGCAGCAGGATTTAGAGCAAACTACTATGGTGCCAAAGACATTTGTGAAGCACTTATTCCCCTTCTAAAGTTTTCAGACTCACCAAGGATTGTTAATGTTTCTTCCGGACTCGGGAATTTGGAGGTTTGTGATCCTAGAATAAACTTCTGTTTCTTTGTCTAGAATGTCAATCAGGAAGCCAGTTTGTGTTGAATTTGGAGCACTGTGTTTGATACTATAAAGACCAAAGGACAAACCCCAAGGCATCCTGACTTGTTGAGTGTAGGGATAAGGGTCGATTGTGCACAATTTTATCTTTGCATTTTTTTGCAAACTCAAGGAGCAACCTAACCACCTATGTTGCACCGACACTGATACGGGACACGGAATACGATACGACGACACGTTAATTCTAAAAAATGTTTTAAATTTCGACACGTTAGGACACATTTTGATACTATATAATATTTTTAATTTATGTAGTGTATATTATATTTAGTATTCAATAATTTAACAAAAAAATAAAGCTAAACTTATAATACCCACTAATTTTGCAAAGAGACATAATATATTCCAAATGTTTATATTAAACTCAATAAAATCGTAATTGTAATCTAACAAATCTAATAGTTGGAACTCAAAATGCAATGCAACGTAACCTTTGAACTTTTTTTGAATCTTTGCAACGAATATTGGAGTGTCAGGAAGTGTCGGAGTGTCGGTGAGTGTCGGACACGACACGTCAGGATTTTTGAAGTGTCGGTGCTTCATAGCTAACCACTACTACAACAACACTCAGCCTCAATTTATTTGTTACTATAAAGGAAAAACATTTCTCCGACAACGTGAGATAAGTTTATTTCCGGTCACTCCAAAACGACGTCATTTTGTTTATTTATTTTCTTATACTAATTGATTCACCTTTGAGTAGTTATGATTATCTTTTTCTCTCTCTTCATTTATCACCATTGATCAATCTTTGTATGGCTACAATTTTAAGAAAGCAATGGCAATTTGGTCAGATATTGTTAGCAGCCTTACCTGGCATTTGCAAGAGACTTATGACATGGACTGAATCAATGTGTTTAATACTATAAACAATTTATGAAAAAAAATATTTATATAGTATGTAGCCTTACGTTACATTTGTAAGATATTAATTACATGAAGGACACGTGCCAATAACACCAACCTTTATGCCAATGCTCCCCTTCATACTAAAACAATTTATATGAAAAAAAAAATGTTCTCTGTCTTCTTTTTCCCCCTATAAATTGGTCAGCTGGTGAACAAGTGAAGTAAGTCATTTCAACTAACATAAAATTTGTATGGTTTCTTTAATCACTGTAATAAATTAGTTATTAGGAGATTGGGCCTAACGTTTGTTATTCATGTTGATGCAGTTCATATCAAATGGATGGGCTATAGGAGTCCTAAGTGATGTTGAAAGCCTTACAGAGGAAAAAGTGGATGAGGTTTTGAATCAGTTCCTTGAAGATTTTAGAGAGAGTTTAGTAGAAACCAAAGGCTGGCCTGCTTTTGCACCTGGATATTCAGTCTCAAAAGCTGCTTTGAATGCCTACACAAGGATTCTTGCCAAGAAATACCCAACTTTTTACATCAATGCTGTTTCCCCTGGTTTTGTGAAAACAGATTTAAACTACAATAATGGCATTTTGACTGTTGAGGAAGGTGCTGAAAGTGCTGTAAGGTTGGCTTTGCTACCTAATGGTGGTCCTTCTGGCCTCTTTTTCTCTCAAAATGAAGTGGCACCATTTTGATCAAAAGTCATTAGTATTAGCAACGTAATAAGAGCACTAGAGAACATTCCCACATATCTGCAGACTTAAAAGTGTGTTTGTTGTAATTAGATTTGTAAACTTTATTATGATTGAAAACTTTTATTTGTATGGTGCTGAATCAATGTTATTTGAGTAGTATTAATAAAAAATTGGGCATGAGTTATCTCAATTGTAAATAAATTTATACTGTCTGCTTTCACCTGTTTATTATTAAAAATTAATATAACATAAAATTATGATGTTATTGATGTCGATATGCAAACGGGTTTTGTTCACTGGCAAAGCAAAATAATTGTGGCCCTTATTGGAATTTAGGTGGGGAATTGTTGTAGGGAAATAGGGTGTACTGACTTCTTTGCATTTGTTTCTGTTATTTTTTGTTTTTGAGTAAATATAAGATGCTTCTAGGTGTGGATGTGGTGGCCAGTAGCATGACTATATAGCATGAGACTTTTAGTAGCAATAGCTGACTCCGTAATTGGTATGCAAATTGTGTAACTAAAAATGCATTTGGATTACATAAAATTGGAATAGCAAAGATTTATGTTTATTTGTTGAAGACATAATTGTTCAATAACAATAGGTGCACGGGTTATGATTCTCCACATTTAATACTTTCATCATTTTTATGATTATGATTCTTCACATTTAATTCTTTCAAGTATATATATGGCAAGTATTTGATTGCTGCACGTACAACAGCGGTAGAAAAGTAAACCACTATATATATATATATATATAATATATATATATATATATATATATATATATAAGGTTCGTTTTTTTGCAGCTACTGCTGAAAAGTTATCTGCAGTAAGCCTAATACGACGTCGTTTTGGGTAGAAATCATGGTGTTTTTATAATTTTAATTTATTTCAGAGTTATTATAGTTTTTATAATTATAATTTTCTAATCTTTCAATCCCAAAACGACGTCGTTTTGGAAGTAAATGCAGATAAGTTATTTGCATTGAGCCTAAAACGACGTCGTTTTGGGGCGGCAATCAAAGTATTTTTGTAATTTTAATTTATTTCAAGGTTATAATAGTCTTTATAATTTAAATTTTTAGTATTTCAATACCAAAACGACGTCGTTTTGAGAGTTAATGCAGATAACTTATATGTAGTAACTGCAAAAATATTTTTCATATATATATATATAGGTAAGATATTCATACTACCAAATTTTTCTATAACATCTGAGAGTTGCGAATGCAAGTCAATTTGTACTGCAAGCAATAGAAAATATCAATGCTTTGAATCTAATATATATTAACATGCTTCATACTTTCAGACATACTTCATAAATGCATATTAATGTTCACCTTTGGGGATCTACCAACATGCAACATTCAACAATAATGATGCTATAAAGATTTTCCATAATTTGACAATGATGCATACCCCAACTAGAAATATTTTCCATCTTTGGATGTCTAAATAAAACCAGAAGTGTACCAACAATATCAACGTTCATGTTCATTATTATAAAATAAATAATCATCCTTTGGATTGATCCCTAATTGTCATGCAATAACGAACTTCAATACACCCACAACATAAACAGTAATAATTTTTTTATTTTTTTATTTTTATACTATTCATAGCATCACATTCATGGGTAATTGAAAATACATCTATAATGATTGGAGTTAAGAACAATTCTTAAGAATTTGGCCACTTTGGTGACTAGGTAATCCTCTTATACCTTAACTCCAAACCATACACATTTCATAGACAATCATAAGATTTTACATTTAATCATATTATAAACATCGTAAATAATTTCAATGTTAACAAAAGGTATACAGCCATTCGATCCATGTTCCAAAATGCAATAACAGTGGCACACATACATATAATCAAAAGCAATGTTATATATGTAATGGAAATCATATATGTCTCGATTTTTGTAAACAAGTTCAACAATAATGTAATATAACCATGATTCTTGGTTTAGAATTCAATCATGTACTGTTGGTTTATCTTTAATCATCATGCATATTAGAAATATATTATTATATTCCAAATAAAGAACTCATCACTTTCGTTTCAAATGAATACATGTTGTTCATGAATATACCAAAATCGAAAATTAATCTGTGGTTTCGGATGACAACTCGATGGTTTATTAATCCAAACAAGACTAATTTCACAAACCATACAAGGAAAAACATGAATTCCCAAACACATGCCCTGATACCACATGTAAACCTATGGGTTTATTCAATGATTATATTCTTTAATATAAACAAGAATACATAAGGATCTTGAGAAAACATGTTTTCACATTTAGTAAACAATGATGAGGACACGAACCTTTGTCCATGGTGATGACAACAAATCTTCAATTAGGAATACTTTCTGTAGAATGGCTTTTGACAGCAAACTTTAGACTGAGAACTCTTGATGCGAAATGGTTTTTCTCAATCTCTTCACCCTCCTATTATAGGTTCCTCTTCTATTCTTGATGGCAAAAACTCATAACCTCTTAATGGGCAGAGATGAAGGGTTTTACCATAATCTTTATATAACTGCTTCCATCAAGCAAATTACTATATGGTCCCTTAACAACCTCCCACTAATCAGGTCATTGATAAACAGAATTATCTTTTAGCCTTTCTTATATTCAAATCATATGAGCCACTTCTAACAGATATATCTAACACTAGACGCCAAAACGAGTTATTTAACGTTTGATCTGAAATTTTTTTTTTTTCTTATTGTTTATCTTAGTTACCAAATTACTTGAATAGCACTAAAAAAAAAAAAAAAACTTACTTGAATATATGAAAACGGAAAATTTCTACTTTCTGGCGATAAAGAGTACTTATATATTAGTCAAAATTAATTATTCTAAACAATATCTAGAAGCCATATAATATAACCAGCTCTCTTATGTTTCTCTGATCCTTACAGGAATTATGTGGAACAACAATCATGGGTAAAACCCTCCAATTCCGTTATAGCTCAACTTCACAAAGAATATTTGGCATTCCAGCTCTTGTTTGGGAGTTTGGAGGGGAGGGGAAGGAAGGGGATCCAAGGGGGAAGGAAGGGAAGGAAATTGAAGGGTATTCTCTTCCCTTGTTTGGGAGTTAAAAAAATGGTAAAGGAGGAAAATTGAGGGTTAATGAGATATTTTTACCATTTTATCCTTTTTTAAAATTAATATAATTATTATTTTACAAATTAAATTAAATTAAAAATTTCTAACAAAATTATTTATGTACTTTTCACACCACCAAAAAGATCATATTTTCGATGAAATTCCTACGTTGTAAACGATGAAAATTTCATCACAAAATTATTTTTTTTCGTCAGAATACTTTACGTTGAAAAGCGACAAAATTTTTCAACCGATGAAAATTTTTACCAAAATAAATTTTCTATCGAAAATTTTGACGAAATTTAGTTTCCATCAAAAGTTTTGACGAAAATAATTTCCTCCATCAAATATTTTAAACGAAAAAAGAAGTCTGTCAAAAATTTTGACAGAACGTTTTTCGTTCAAAATTTCGATGAAAATAAGTTCTGACGAAAATTTCGACAGAAATTGTTTTGTTAGAAATTTTGAGGGAAATGTTTCATTTGAAACTTACGACGAAATTTGGATTCTGTATAGAATTTGACAGAATATTTTTTTCGTCAAAATTTTTTGTCGAAATATTTTCCGTCAAAAATTTTATGGAAATATTTTCTGTCGAAATTTTTTGATAGAAATGACTTCCGTTGAAAATTTTGATGGAAATGTTTTTTATCAAAAAACTAGACAAAAAAATTTTTCATTTAAAATTTTCGATGGAAAGGTGTTTCGTTAAAAATTTTGACAGAAATTTTTTTTGCCACAAAATTTAAGAGATTTGATGAAATTTTGTTTCGTCAACAATTTTTGATAGAAATATGTTTCGTTGAAAAATTTAATGGAAATATTTTTCGTCAAAAATTTCGATAAATATTTTTTTTGTGAAATATTTTGGTAGAATTTAGATTCTGTAAAGAATTTTGACAAAAAAAATTTTCCGTCATATTTTTTTACAGAAATATTTTAGTCACAAATTTTGATGGAAATATTTTCCGCAAAAAATTTTGATGTAATTGTTTTACGTCGAAACTTTTCGATGGAAATGTGTTTCGTCAAATTTTTGACGGAATTTAGATTCTATCAATAATTTTGACTGAATTTTTTTTCATTCAAATTTTATGTTAGTGATTATGACAAAATGTGGTTCCGTCTCTAATTTTGTCTTTAGTTTTGACGGAAATTTTTTGACGTATATGATTTTCATCAAAAATTTCATCACTATTTTTGACGAAATATTTTTCGTCAATAAATTCTGTTGGTATTTGAGACTTTTATAATAATATCGCATTTAAAAATGATTCACAATTATGTAGTTTTAACATTTTAATGGCTTACTTAAACCCTCATTTCCTTTTCCTTCCCCTCCTAAAACCAACTCCCAAACAAAGCCTTAATGATCCAAGGATACAAAGTATCGCCCTCTTGTACGGAATCAGTTGCAATTAACTAAATTTTGTTAACAAGTTTATTTTTATGAGTGCTATATTTCTTTCCTTTTATTTTTGGTAGATTGCGTAAGCTTGTCTTTTAAATTTTGTTACTCTATTACAAGGAAGGAGCTTCTTAATATACACAAGTCACAATTTTTTTTTGTTAACAATAATATATATATATATATATATATATATATATATATATATATATACACTTTTCTATGGCCACTTTAGATAAAGTTGTCTATATAACTAGCCCTTTTTAACTAAGTCTGACTAATAAGACATAAAAATTACATTTTCTCTCTCCGTCATGTTAGCTGACAATGTCTGAAGAGAGAGAAAAAAGAACATCTTTATTGTTATAAATATGTCTTACTTGTCAGACTTAGTTAAAAAAGGGTAGCTGTAGATAATGTTATCTAAAGTGGCTATAGATATATATACAGATCAGGATCATTT